TTACTACATCGCATCCTGGTCAGTCACTTTCTATGGCAAACTATTCATGATAAATTTAGAAATAACAATTTTTACCCATTAAACATTTGCAAGAATTTACTAAATAAGGAGAACTTTTAATATCTTGAAATATGTAAAGCACTCTGGAATTATAACAAAACCATTAGAATTTTTACCAATAGAAACATACTTCTGCAGCTAACAATTACCCCATCAAATCTTTGTTGAATATTTACTATACTGATATTGTCCTGGTTAAGATCCAATAGTGAATAATATAAATGTGCCTGTGTACTTTTAATACAGCATACCCATCCTTTGTTCAGTTAAGTTGAGGGGAAATCAAACTATCCATGGCCCAAGGAGTATTTCAAGGCGTCACACTACTTAATTGTCTTTAGATCTTGCCTTAGTTACCTAGTGCTGCTATAACACACATCCCACAAGTAAGTGGCTTTAAAGAACAGATAATTTCTCACAATTCACAAAGCTAGAAGTGGAAGAACCTTAGATATTTCATCTTGCAAGTAGCCCTCATAGATGCCATCTCTTTCTATCACCTGCCTTTCTCTTAACTCGTGTGTGTCTGTGTATTCTTATACCTCCGAAATCAGGTTTACAACCCATCCTCACTGGTGTGCTTTCATTAACATAACAAAGCCAAAACTATTTCCAAATAAAATCACAAGCTAAAGGGTGGGATCCCAATGCATATTTTGGAGAGGTCACAATCCAACAATAACAGATTTTAGATACTTGTCTGGAAAGTAAACTAATAATGCATAACAGCCTTAAAGCTGTGATACTTTAACATTTCTCTGGTAAACAAAGTTCTGATGTAATATGCTCTGAGGAGTTTGGGAAGTATACTTAATGAGTTCTTGGCCAGTAACCAAAAGGCCAGCTGTTTGAACCCACCAGTAGATCCACAGAGTGATATGACAGTCTGCTTCCACAAGGATCATAGCTTTGGAAACCCAGTGAGGCGGTTCTACTCTATCCTACAGGGTCAGTGTGAGTCAGAATCAACACCAGCAATGGATTTGGGTCTTAAAGGTTCCCTGTGCAGCTTTCAGGTAAGCGTTGGGCTACTTACTACCTGCAGAGTCATCAGTTCAAACCCACCAAGCCACTCAGCAGGAGAAAGGTGAAGATTTACAAATACAAAGCCTCAGAAACACTAAGATCACTCGAGTCAGAATTCACTTGATGGCAGTCAAGTTTGGTTTTTATTGTATGTGTTAGGCTGGGTTTTCTAGAGAAGCGAAACCTGTAATTGATAGATAACATGCACATTATATCAGAGCAGTTACACAAAGCAATCA